GAGTCTTGATGCCTTCTTCTTGGTTACTATTGTTAAAAGTCACTACCTTCAAAAAACAGAATGAGTAAGAACTGTATGTGTACACAAGATGAAGAACGATGTAAGTTTATAACATGTCCCTTAGCCCAAGATTTAGCCATTTGAACACCTAAGCAGGTAGGCTGAATGCTACCCTTCCTGTTGAGTTGTCAGTGGATATCAGCATTGTTGGTGGCATAACGGTGTTGGTGAAGGGGCTCTTGTTTGAGCGATTTCCAGTGTGGGACTTCTTTTGAGTGACAGTTTAACTTATGGATAACATACTTGCTTCCTTGCAGTATTTTGCACTGTTGGCTATATCTGGTCTGTGTGCCAATACTGAGAGGCATTTTGTAGGAGGAATATAGTTGCTCACAACAATACCTGCTTCCATGTCTCTAGTTCTCATGACCTTCTGACACTGCTGAACTTGACATGTTCAGGAGTCATTTGCTCAACTTATTAACCTGCCATATGCCGGCCTCTTCTTTCACTCTGAGGATCAGCCTGTTGCATAAAAGTACTCTCACCTTCAGAACCTTCCACCTGTATATGTTGCAAATTGGTATTTTTCCTTTGAGTGCTGAATGTGCCATTTCACATCCTCTAACTTTTACCTGCTTCAGATGCTTTGCAGATATTTCTGTCGTAGGAGGCTTATAGGAAGGGTGGGGATACAGAAGAAACTCAGATATATATATATTCAAGAGGAGGTGTGTGTGTGTGTGTGTGTGTCTAGAACCTAATTTCTACTCCTCCATTCCCCACCCGCCCGCCCCGCCATTGACTGCACATGCCTGAAAGAACAAGACTTCAGATAAAGGAATGTGAGAACACCTGAATAAAAAAGGAACATCTGGTCCAGAGCCCCGGGTGAACTTTAAAGAAGTGTCAGCCTGAACTAGTAACTATCTCCCTTATAATTCATAGCTGCTGAAATATCCCTTACTTTAGGTTGCTAGTGACCTAACTCATGGGGACTGCTAGGGATAGGATAGTTCCTACCCCTACCCTAGGACAGAATTATGCCCTTTGCAGTTAACTCTTTGTCCAGTCCCATAACTGTTCTTAACAACTTCAAAATGTCTCTTGATCTAAGGTGGGCTTTTATTCGAGGGAATTGACTATGGGAATATCCCCATCTATATTCTCTGTTGTAAAACTCCCTGCTGTACTCCCTGAGTACATTCAGTTATAGCTCCTCTCAGACCCCCACTGCCCAGTGTGGACAAGCAGACCAGTACAGACTTTGGGAGCCTGAGTTAAAAAGAAGCCCATGGTGATTTGAGATCTGAAACAGAAGGTGATCGCAGTAGTTGGGATTGGGGGAGTTGACACAACCTAGGAACCAGGTTCTGCTTTGGTTGCCAGCTCTGTTTCAAGGACCCTTGGTGAACTCTTAAACTCTCAAGAGACCTGAGAAACAGGCATGCTAAAGCAACTTTTCTAACCTCATAGAAAAGCCAACTCAGCTTTAATATAATGAATTAGTTTTTGGTCTCAAATCTTATAGGCCTGGCAAGTCTGTGTTACCCTTGTTCCTTCAACGCTGTTTTTTTTTTTCCCCCCGTAGAAATGCATGCAGGAACTGATTCCTTTCTTATTCTTTGGAACAATGTAAAGAACCATTCTGCTTCACTGCACATGTGGCCTTCCTAGCCAGGCTTATGGTACACTGAATAGAGCTGGGCAGCTTCTGGGCCATCCAGAATGTAGTTACAGTTCAGAAGAGAGTCTAGCCACAGAGCTTCCTGTAAAGGGGGAAACACCCTCAAATTGGGAGACCTGGGAATGCGCTGCTAGCTTGTTGGGCTGAGCCCTCACCATGTCTTCTGACTTGAGGGCAGGGGGAGCAGCCGTAACAGGGGAGGGATCAAGATCTGTATTTCAAGCAAATCTGCCAGTTGTCTAGGAATGTGTAAGGGAGGTTGGGATGTCTTGTCTTATGTCTCAGAAAACAGCATGTTTTTGGCTGGAAATGAGGTGGGACTGCTGTGGTATTTGAAGTTGAATTTGGGGCTACACTCTCAAGTCACCCCATGCCCTCACAGGAATGTGCTGGTATGATCTAGGAAGATTTGAGTTTCCTCTTTGAAGTCAGTTTCTTTTAAAAGGCTGGTTTGATTTTAACAAAGTTGCCAAAGCCCCCCTCTTTACCCTCACATACACAAAGAGTGCATTGTTCATGTACCCCCTGTGCTGTAAATAAGACACCAGATCAGATGCAGCAACCCAGTCTTGCATAAGCCTTGGTTAAAATGTTTTTTGAAACAACTAGGCCAGTAGCCAGAGCGGAATTCTTTAAATGGGACAGATGTCAAGAGAATGGCTGGTCTCCTCTAGCACCCTTGCAGAAAAAGGCAAGTCTAGGATTACAACTTTCAGTGGCCTACTTTAAATAGACACTACTCTGGAAGATGACTTTCTTTATATTTTTAAACATAAAATCCAAAAAACTAACTCTGTTAAGTGAAAATTACAATACATTATGGTGACCCAGCAGCTGGCTGTTGTAATACTTCTTGCCCACCATTTGTACCTAATGGTTGACTGACCTTTTGAGGTGGCTTTGTGACACCTTTTATATTCGTGATGGGTCTCAAGAAGTTTATACTTAAACATGATGGAAACTGCTGTGGAAAAAGATTGTAGATTTATCAGTCTTCAGTTTTGTATAAGAATATGACTACCTCAAGAAATATTTCATGTACCTTACAGTCTTTGGGAGGAAAGGGTTCTCTTAAAATACCCATCTTTTGGATTTTATGATGATACCAGGTTATAAAAGATTCCTGTGTGTTCATGTTTTCCTCAAAATAGGCTATGTACTTCTGTCTTTTCTTTCTGCCTTCAGAGGAAAATGGAGCCCAGTGATGATACGTGCCTATTTCTGGTTGGGTTTTCTTAGGGGCTGTGGCGGCAGTTTCCAGTCCATTCTCATATGAGCAGTGGGGTAGGTTGGCCTGTGCCTGCATCAGGGGTGAGCTCAGAGGACTGGGGGGTTAAGATCAAGGCTTGCAATGGGAACTTATACCTAGCATGAGCCCCGCTCTCTGGGTTGGAGCAGGGCCCAAGCCCCTTAAGGAGAGATGACAAGTCAATCCCTGGCTTGTGTAGGTTCAACGTCTTGAGAACATGTGTACCATAATAGAGAATAAACTTTGTGGCTGTGGAAAAGAAAAGGAAAGAGTGTTATACTCTGTCACTGAAACAGCTTATTCCTCAGAGTCAAGCTTTGAAAAAGAAACCCAGTAAAAAGTATCTTTATTCTCATATCAGAAAAGTTTTTCTGTAATATGCATTAACAATACAAAAATATTTTGAATACTACAATGGTCCTTTTTTCTCTCAAGACTTCTTGCAACACTACACCAGAACATACGATCTTTGGATTCTGAGAAGCCAGTGGCTAAAGTAGGAACTAAAGGCTTTTGTTGAGGGTGTGTGTGGGTACGGGGGTATAGCCCTTTCTCTTTGGACTCAGGCTATGTACAGTGAAGAGGAGGCAAAAAACCCAACTAAGTTAAATTAAAGATTTGTTTTTTAAGGCTCAGGGTTGAAGCTTGGCTCAGAAATGGGTTAAAGTAGGCTGTGGTGCAAACCCGATGTCCACCACTAGAGGTTTTCTGGGCTCCTTGCTTTGGTTGTAATAGTCTTTCTTCCTGCAGCCCCATAGGGAAACTGAAGCTGGCCTACTTTCACGCTGGAAGATAGACACTGGTTGTCCTGAGGTTTGGCTTGCCCTCTTACAACTGTCTGAGAGCTGGCTAGAATGGTGTGGATAGGCTGGAACTGGATCTGTGAAAAAGGCTCTCAAGAGCAGGTAGGGATGCACACTGGATTTTGAGCCATGACTTACTTGAACTGTTGACTGCAGCCACTAGTGACTGAGGCATTTGGTATCAGGGCTTCTTAGGTGGTTGAGTTCCTTAGGAAACATTTCTGAGTAATTTGAACTAGAGCCACATACCCTCACCACCCACACTTGCCTTTAAGGTGGTGTCAGGTTATTCCTGTTGGCTAGGGTGATAGGCCTAAATTTAACCTATTCCATTCACTCCTCTTCTTGTAAGCTCCAAAGAACGTGGCAAGAAGCTTCCTTTGGTCCAGCTTACAGATAGCAGCTGGTTTTCTGTAAACAGGGCTTCTCCAGGCCCTTAAGAGAGAAACACTGTTGTCTTAAGCTTTGTGGTTGTGACCATGCTTACATATTGTTTGGTAAACCAGCTTGTTCTTGGTCCATGAAGTATCTTGTATGGGGAGGGTGTGGCAGTGGTGGGGTTGGGTGGGGGAAGTAGGGAAAGCAGTTGGGCTCAGTCCAGTCCATCTATGACCTATAGCAGAAAAGCAAGGGAGGCAGGGAGGGGCATCTGGCTAGCAAGACAGATGGTAAAAAGAATAGATCCAGTCTGCCATAGGCATGAGGGGATGCCCTTAATCAAATGACACAACGCAGATCTAATTCCCACCACTTGGAGCAGTTTGAATTGATGGCCCCATGTTCAGGCAGAAGATGTGCAGCCTCTGAAATCTCCAGGGCCTGGACTCTGAGAGGGAGCCAACAGGGCCCCTGGCCGGTTTCCACGTGCTTTGGGGCTCTGTCGTCTCCTCTCAGAGGGTGGGCCCCTGGAGGAAGCCATGTGTCCTGTGCATGCTAGGCTGCCTGTCTCTGAGATTCCTGTTGCTGTACCTGTGTACTCTGCAGGTTGCTGTGAGGAGCCTGAGGGGGCCCAGGGGTCTGGGAGGCTGAGAGCGGCCGAGAGACCTGGTGATGTAGGCGCCGGTTCCGCAGGGCTAGCAAGCAGTTCTGTGGGGAAGTGGGGCAGCAGGAGGTACGAGGGTGAGTCCTGGGGAGCTGGGGACCCGGGGCAGCCTAGAGCACTGTCATCGGAAGGAACGGGGCTGGGGCAGCGGCCTTCTCCGGGTAAGTACCGAATGCATTTCTTTTTCCTCCTAGGAATAGTGAAGAGAGTTATCTGTAAACAGAGGGTGAATTCATAGTCATACTCCACAACCAAAAAATGCTGTCCTTGCATAGGCCTAGCTCCCCATGACTTAGGTGATATGTCTGTGCCTTCATGCTTAGCGCTACAACTGCTGAGCCTGGCCCAGACCTAGGGACAGGTGCAGCTCCCAGCAGAACCACAAGGTGGCACAGGGACCTTTTGTAGCTTGGCCTGTGGGCTGCCTGCTATCTTCCAGGGCAGCTATCTCCTAGTCTAGGCTGTTGAGGCTCTGCTTCACATTTGGGGGGCTCAGATCTGATTAAGGAAGTGGCGGGGGGTGGGGTGGGGGGGCTGCAATGGGCTTGTGGCTTCTAGGGCTGAGCAATCCAAATGCTCAGAGCTAGGCTAGGGGCAGAGAAGGGAAAGAATTGGACAGTGACTTGTCTACCATCTTATTCTCTGGACAACACTTTGTATCTGAGTAGCGTGGAATGGATGGAATAGGGCCTCCTCTGAGAACAGGGTTGCCTCCCATCATGTGTACACACACACACATACTTATTTCCCCCAAATTCCTCTTTGCCCTTGGACAGGGAGTATGGTGGGCACTCATAGGGGCTGGACAAGTATTCCCTAGAGTCAGTGAACTTACTGCCTGGAGCAGCCTGAGCCTTGGCTCTAGCAGGCCTGGCCTGAACCTCAACTAGGCAACTTTAGCCATTTGGTAGGTATACTTTCTTTTCCCATACACAAATATTTCTCTGTTGTATGGTGAAACATATAGGTTTAATGCCACAGGGTCTGAGTATGGCTACCAGGGGTACCTCTGTTCATCTCCCTACCTCTCTGAGCCCGCTGGTCTCAGCAGGTACGTGATATAAGTCACATGGCCACTGGGCATTTAGGTTATTCAGGTTTTTCTCTACTACAGTCACTTCATTATTCTTAGGGCTCGGTATGGTACAGCAGGGATCCCAACTGGAAGAAGTGAGGGAGCTGGTGGACCATGATGACTTTGAGGCCTGGGAACAGGGGCTCAGGCCATTTAAATGCTGTGTGTGTGATTTGTCTGCTGAGGACCTGCTAGGCCTGATAAGCACCAGACCAACATTACCAGGGAACCCTGGGCACCAGGTACCAGAAATACCTTCTAAGTCTGCCTTTCCTTTCCTCCTAGAGCATTGTCTCTCCTCCTTCCTCTTAGACCCAAGTAGTCTTCCCCACGAGCTGTTGTGTTCACTCCCATTCTTAGGAGGCATGGGCTCCCCAGTCTGTGGGTATGTTGGGGGCTAGGGGCCAGAGGAGGGCAGCAGGCCCAGCAGAACATGTGCAGAGAGTAAGGGAAGCAGCTTGAAGCAAAGGGAGGACAGTGGTGGGGACAAACCCACCTGCACGGACCACACCAATCCGTCTGCTGGTTGAGGCCAAAGCGAGCACGGCATTTCTTAGGCGAGCCAGGGTCTGCTCACAGCCATGCCAGAGGGGCAGAGCAGGGCAGAGGGCGAGCAGGCAGGCAGCAGGGCAGAGCAGGGCCCAGAAAGAAGAGGTAACATCAGTGTTAGCCAGTCACAGATACCCCACAGTCCCTACAGGCAAGGGCTTCTCCACGGCACAGCCAGCCCTAGTGGGAGCCCCAGGGCCCAAAGCCAAGGTATCAGGAAAGGGTGGCACCCAGCTGGCAGTGTAGAGGCAGTGGGAAGAACGGCGGGGGTGGGGAGGGAGGGGACCCTATCAGACTGGCTCCTCTCTGTGGCTTGTGGGGCCCCTTGCAGCAAGGGAGCTCAGAGAAGAACCTGGGGGGCCCGTGGGGATCAAGCCTCTTCTGCCTTAGGGCCCCACCCCCACCCCGCCAACTCCCTGCCCATTTTATCCAGTTTTTCTTCATCTTTGCCAGTGTGCAATCTGCCTGACCCATATCCCCTGCGGCTGTAGCTTAAGCCTATGCTAATACTTTTCCAGAAGGAAAGTAAAGCCCATTCTTCAACCTTAGAAAAAGGACTGAGGACTCTCCCGTGCCCCAGTCCTAGCTTCCAGCTTCCCTGTGTGGGGCAGCACAGCTGAGAAAGTCACTCGTGGATGCGGAGTGTGAAGTATCAGAGTTGGGACAGGAATTCACCCAGAGGAAGACTTGAGGCAGGGTGCGGCCTCCCGAGTCCTCTATACAGAGCACTTTGCGCCTCCGTGAGAACTGGGGGTGGGGCGATAGAAAAATTGCTAGGCACCAGCCAACAGGCTGTGTGACTGCTGGGCTCAAGCATGGGGCCTGGCTCAGCCTTCACCCAGACAGCCTGCTGCTCACCTCCGCAGAGCTAACCAGGATGCAGTATTTGGGTTTAGTCTTGAATCAAACAGTTCCTCACTAGCTTCTCTGGCAGAGGCTGGCCACTAGCAGGGCTTGCAAGGGTGTGTGTGTGGCGGGTCACAAAGCACTGCTCTAAGAATTGGCTTCTGCAGGTCTTCCCTGGGACTTAGTGTAGCTGTTCCTCCTGTGGGGGGTTGACTTGTGAGATGCAGGCCTTGTTTCCAGAGGGCCCAGGCCCTAAAGGTTCATGGCTCAGTACTCTGCCCCTCTCTTGGGCCAGAGCAGGGCCGCTCGTGAGCTGGGGACCCGAGAGGAGCCTCCACTACTGCTGAGGGAAGGCCTCACCTGTGTTGGATTCTTGGTGCTTTTCCCGTGACCGCCTCTTCTTCTTCCCCTGCAGGGAGCAAAGTGGAGGATGCTCAGAGGATGCTGGGAGGTGGACACTGTAACCCCAGTGAGCGAGTGGTTGGGACACCTGCAGCCTGCTGCCTAGTCTGGCTGCCGCTGGGATTCCAGGTCCACAGTTCCCTCTGACTTGGGGGCCCTGGTGTTTCTTGATTGCACTTTTTGCTAGGTTACCACGGAGCAGTTGGGGCCTCCTCCCTTTCCCACACTGGTCTCCTTTCTGAATGCAGGAGGTGACTTCCGGGCCCCTTCCTCCGCTTGTGCTGATGTAGCCCAGTCAAGTACTGGACAACAGCCCTGTGTGGAAGTACATCCTGGGGAGAATGAGCCTGCCTTTAGGGGCAGCTCCCCTCATCTGATCCTCTTCTGAGCTAGCCATGGGAGGCCTTGGACCCTCTATTCTACCACCTCCCCTCCTCCTCTGTGCCTTCAGGACAGTAGTCCCAACTTCCCTGGTGAGACTGTGGCCTGGCATCTTGAAGGTTCCCTTACTGCGTGTTGGCCACTCACGTAGTTGTCCCGCGCCGACCAGCCTGGGTAGAGCTGCATGTGCAGCTGCCTCTCCTTGCGGGCCAGCTCATAATACTTGGCTTGCTCTTCCCGGGACAGTGCGTGCCACTGCAGAGGGGAAGGGGAGCAGATGGAGGTGCATCAGGGAGTCAGCAGGCTGCACCGGGGTGAAGGTAGTCAGGGCCCACCCCTACCAGCCAACCTGCCCCGTGGCCTCACCCTACGGCCCAGGATCTGGTTGATGGCAGCGCTCTCCTTGAGTGTGCATTCTGCAATGACCTTTGCTCTCATCTCCTTCATGTACAGCATGAAGGCATTGAGAGGCTTCTTGATGGTTGGCTTCTTGGCTTCCTTCTCTGCCTTGGATTCTGCCTGCGTCTTCCTGAAGGACACATGAACAGATCACTCAGGGGCCCCCACGGTGTCCTGATGCTACCACTCTCCTCTAGTGTGTCCAGTGTATGTGTAAGTGCCTGGATACTAGGGTTTTTTAAATGGGATCTTTTTTTTAGCTGCCCCAAAGTAGGTGAGCAGAGCTAAGTAACTTATAGTTCCTTATAGGAATTTTGCAGCTAAGTAAGGAGAACCCCTCCCCTCTTGGCTCAAACTAAATCCACCCACTCCCTTCCTGCTTCTGAGGATCAAAAAACTGGTCAGTGGCAATTGCCAAAGGACGGCTTGGCCAGAGGCCTCCTGGCAGTCCCTGGAGCTTCCAGGCAGCAGGCTTGGGCCTGGGGGGAGGAATGTGTATCTTGAGGTCTGCTTACCTGTCCCACCCCCAGTCCCCATTGAGTGTCTTTTCACTCACAGGCTGCGGTCATAGGGCTGCAGCTCCTGCTTCCCTGAAGGGGGCACAATGGCTGGGTGGGGGATGGCTGCGGGGTGACCAGGTACACCGGAACCTAGCATCAGGGGTGGATGGGTGAACCTAAAGGCAGAAGAAGAGTTAACAATGAGCCAGGTATGTACGGGCCAGATCTCTGGACACAGAGAGGCCCCTGCACAATACAAGAGGGTGAACAGATACCCACCTCCACTGACCTGCATACAAGTACACAGAAATACATACAAATACCTGCTCCCAACACACTGCACAGACACGATGCAAAAATCTACATGTATGTCAAATTCAGGTGGTTACTGAAGCTCTGAATAGCTTTTGAATCTGTCCCCTTCTTACCTCCTGCCCTCACCAGCTCAGCCTCAGCCTGTGGCTGCCCTTATTTTCCTCCTTGACCCCTCAAGGCCTCTCTCTATATAACAGCCAGAGTGACCTTTTAAAAACACCTGAATGCTCTTGGCCACTTCTGTTGAAATTCCCCCACTGCCCACAGAATAAAACCCAGGCTCCTCCCTAGGGCTTGCACAGCCCTGTATGGCCATCTCTGCTGACATTTCTAGCCCCACCCCCCCACCCCACTTCCCATCACTTCCCACCCCCAGCCATCTCCAGTTACTGATGTTCCCTTTGTTTCCCTCACTCAAGAGATGTTATCCTCTTCATGAAGCCTTCCCTGACCCATCAGACATGGCTGGGGTCTCCTCGGGGCTTCCCCATCACCCAGCTAGCCCATTCAACTGCTGCTGCTGTGTCTATACCTCCCACCCTGGGCTGTGGGCTACAGATGTCTGTTGAATTCCTTGTTCCATACCTGCGCACAAGCCTGTCACTGAGGGAGTGAGCCAAGTGAAAGGACACACATATACACATAGCTCCCACTTTACTTTCTTGATGTTCTATGGATACCAATCTGTCCCTTACTGCTTGCACAGGTATGGAATAACTGAGCAGGTGGCCCCTAAGGGCCAGAGGTTGGAGATGCATGTAAAAGGTTCTGCCTCAGCTTGGGCAGAGCTCAGGGGTTGCTGTCCTGACTCATCCTTTGCTCAGCAGGATGCACAACAGAGGTGACTGCACACACACCTGCACACGTGTACATGCACTGTCTCTGGCTGCTCTGTTGTGCTTTGCACTGTATGGCCTGGGCTTAGGCCTCCTGCACTCCCACTGGCTTCATTCTCAGGTATAGGGCAGCATGGGGCTGGAGAATGACAGACGGACGGATGGACAGACGATTGACACAGGGCAAGCACTGGCCTGGGCGTGGCCTCTTGTGGGCACTGAAGCCTGGGCAACAGGAAGCAGGAGCCTAGCTGCAGGGTAGGGGACTCACCTGGGGTAGGGGGCGCCAGGGGCTGCGGTGGGGGCGGGGAAGTGCTGTCTATATCCGCAGGAAGGGGACAGGGGGTAGAGAGGAGGGCTGGGCCTGTGGTTGGGAGAGATAGCTGTTAGCAGTCTGGCTACTTGCCAAATGTGGGGAACGACTTCCCCACCTTGCTTGGGCCTGACCCCTAGTGTAATAAGGCAAATTGGCTTCTGCTTGGACCACTCTAGTGTATATTTTAAACACGTGCCACCAGAGGGCAACCTTTCCCTCTACAGCAGCGGTCCCCAACCTTTCTGGCACCAGGGGCCGGTTTTGTGGAAGACAGTTTTTCCACGGACTGGGGCTCGCCCTGCCGCTTACCTCCTGCTGTGCGGCCCGGTTCCTAACCCCTGCTCTACAGGCTTACCTTCCCTCTACTCGTGTATAAGGGGTAGAAATGGCAGCATTCTCCTGGGACCCAGGTTGGTAGGTCCCTGGGGTCCCTCCAGCCTCACCTCCTGAAATTCGGGCTTGATACCTGCATACCTGCCTTAAGACCTTTGCACTCACTGTTGACACTGTTAGGACTGTTCTTCTGTCCCACTTTGTTTCAAACTCCTGGTCATCTGTCAAGGTCTTGTTTGGCCAAAACACCCTTTCTCCTGAAAGCCCTTGAGATCCCAAACTGGATGAGGTGTCCCTCCAGGCTTCTACAGTCCTCAAAGCACTGCTAACAGTGCTCTGTAATTGGCCTCTTGCCTGACGTGTGCACTAGGTGGACTGAGTTCTGAGAGGGCAGGGACCGGAGGATCAACCAGCTTCAGCAGTGCTGCTCTGGTTCCCAGAACCTGCCCGGTGCACTTAAATCCTGCGGGGACTCGTAAGGGTAGTCCTGATTTGTATTCAAGGTGGAGCTTTATCCAGAGACAATCTGGACAGGGAAGAGTGAGCTGAACGTGGATAAAGGGCAAGTAGGAAGGGGCAGGTGGGCCCCAGGTTGGGCTTCTGGCCTGCTCTGCCTTCCTGGGAAGCCAGGCTTTCCTGCCTTTGGGTAATTGCCCCAACCTAGAGAGGCTAGAGACCTGCCTAGGTCAAACTGTGCACGATGAACAAAGGGTCACGTACTCTGCCAAGGCCCAGCTCCAGCTGAAGACGGGCCCTTTGGCTCACAGTTGGGCCTGCCGAATGAGATCCAGGCTGTCTTTCCCTGGCCCAGCCTTAGCAGAGTCTCCAAGCAGAATGCCAGGGGCTTGGACTGAAGCAGGCACCATAGGGGCAAGAAGGACCCTGCCCTTCAAGCAGCTCAGCCAAGGAAGGGACCAGCCAGCAGTAGACACTGAGGCAAGTGGGAACTATCCCTCTGTCCACCAGGCCACTGAGAAGCAACAGCTTCTCTTGTGGCCATGCATGCTGCCACGTCCCCGGTCAGGCCTACTTTTTCTTCCTCACATACTCATATGGCCCTGAACAGCCCAGGGTTCTCCCGTCCAAGTCTTAGACGTTACGGCAGAGTGTGATAGGGCTAGGACCAGGGGCTAGGTCTCCTGCCTTCCCAAAGGGAGTATGTCTGGCTAGCTGAGGCATGGATAGAGCTGCTGGCCAGCCCCTGGTACCTGTACAGAGCTGGCATCTGTACAGAGCTGGCATCTGGGTGCTCAGCACAGAAGGGTGGAGGAGGAAAATGGAAGGGCAGGTATGGGTCCAACCAGCGCAAGGTGCCCCTTTCCCACTGGGCCCTCACTCACCAGCTTACAGTGTGCGGGAGCTGTCCCATGCTGCCTGAGGTCAGAGAGTAGAAGCCAGAGAGGTCAGGGGTCTGCAGAGGCCTGTGAACTCCTGCAGTGGAGAGGGGCCGAGTAAGTGAGCCAGTCTGACCTGGAGGCCACTTCAGCTAGTTACTGCATCCTGGAGCCTCCTGTGGGGCCCTCCTAGGATCCCATCTCCGTATGCTAGAGGGAGGACCAGACATACTGGTTTGTTCAGGACTATCCCAGTGTGATAACAGTGCCCCATTTACAGGCTAGGGAAATCAAGGGCAGAGGGTTTGGGTGACTTGCCTACGGGACAGTGGCTGGACAGTGGCAGAGTTGGAGTCATTCAGGAGTGGGAGGCCAGACCTTGCCACACCCTGGTCCAATGCTGGTCTGTAACTGGGGCCTCTCTGCTGGGGGCTCTAGCCTGGCTTTCCGGGCAGGAGGCAGACCCCCTGGCCTGGGGAGCCAGGGCTCCACCCATCCCCCCGTGCCCCCTCCTCCCCAGGGTTGAGTCAGCAGGTTTCCCACAGCCGACAATGGCTGATTTCAGAATGACTCTGCCCGAGGCTGAGGTGAATCAGCCATCACAACCACCACTTTCCATTTTCTCACTGGGGGAGGGAAAGACTACAAGTTTTATATTTATCAGTTTTACACAGAGGCCTACTCCCATACTGGTATTGGGTAGTCACGCAGGATTTAGGCTCCTACCTCAACCTGAAGCCTTCAGATTTTGACCAGGTACCACCTTCCCCAACCTTTGGTGCCCTCAGGCTCCTCAATCTGTTGGGCATGTTCGAGGGGCCCTGAGTTTGCACAGCCCCAGGTTCTCCACTTACAAAAAGGGTCTAGCCACCTGGTCTCAGAAGGCTGGGACTTGATCTCCCCACTCCCCGGCTCTGGGTCTTGTTGGGCCATTCCCATCCAGGATCCATACCTTGCTTCTGGCTGATGTCGGCTGGAGCAGGTGTGGGGTGTGGGCTGCTGAAATGGTCATAGAGAGGAGAGAGTTGGGGAACGCCGTGGGAAGGCTGACTGGCCTTGTTGTGCTGAAAAACGAGGAGGGTGGGTGAATGTGGGGGACCTGAGAGAGGAAGGCACGAGACCGGGGTGCACATACGGGAAGAGCCCCAATTAACTGTGTGGCGGCAGCCCAACCACCAGAGAAAAGTGGAGGTGATCAAAACCACAGGCTTCACTGGACAGGACCCCACTCAGGCCACCTGGTGTCCAGGGGCCCTGCCCCCCCACCCAACTTTGCCCAAGCAGTCCAGTCTCCCACTAGAGAGCCTCTCGGTCTTTCTTGGCCCTCAGTTCTAGGAGGCGTTTCCCCTGCCCAGGAAATTCTTCCTGCCTCCTGGTTTCAGAGATCTCCCTGTTTCTCTGAGGCCCTATGGCCTGTCTGGGGAGCTGCTCACAAGCCTCCAGCCCTAAGCCTGGAGCTTGCTGTCCCCCTCCTCTAGCCCCCAGACTGAGGGGCTTGAGTCTGACCCTCTGGAACCACCTCAGGCTTAAGAGGATTTGTTGACATAGGGAAGGGGCCCCCTCAGCTCTCTACTCAGGGGAGGTGGGGCAAGGTCGTGCCAGCTGTGGCCAGGCTCCCCCCAGGGCCAACCCACCCAGCCTCCACACTTCCTGTTTCCTCAGCACCGCAGGACTCTTACTTTTCACGCTAGTCACATGGATTTGTCATGAGTTGACTCATATTCAGACTGGGACGGGGGCTCCCCTGAGACCCAACCACAGGGAGTTTGCGGCTCAGGGCCAAGGCCTAGCTCTGCATATCCTCGGTGCACACCTTTGCAGGCCAGGGCCCTGGAGACATCATCTAAAACTGAAGGTCAGCTTCCACTTGGAAAAGTCCACCTGTGGGGATGCTGCTGGCTGGGAGCACAGATGAGTGACTTCTAACCCACGACACAGAAGAAATGGGACATCTCTGGGGCAACAGTCATGAGAGATGGTAGTCTGGGCTCCTTCCCACCCTGTAGGTGAAATTTCTCACTGGCTGAATTTAGCCAGACTCCTTAACATCTCTGGGCTTCCTCTCCTGTGTAGTGGATGGGATTCATGATCCCGTCATCACCAGGTTGGAGGAAGGTGAAGGTAGCTCTTGGTGAGGAGGCCTGGCACCGGTCCTTCAGCACTGGCTGTTGGGGGTCCAGAGTGAGGCTAGAGGGAAGGGCAGGTATGAGCCACACTGTAGCCATGGCATGAGGCTCCCGGGTGGGCACAGGATCCCACACCTCCCAGCAACAGCCCTGGCCACCACCTTTCCCACATTCCTGCCTCCAGGGGAGCTTCAGGCTGGGCTACAAGCTGTACCCTTCCCCTCAGGGCTTGGTAAATTGCTCACACTGCCACCTGTCAGTCCCCTGCTCATCCATCTGCCCACCAGGAGGAGTCTTGGATACCAGGGATGATAAGCCTGCCTCCTGTCCTCAGGCAGACAGGAGTTAATGCTCTAATAGTGGTGCCTCCTTCTTTGCGGCTGGCGTGGATCTGGCATCACAGCCACTTCCTGAGGCCGATGCCTCACCTCTGACCAGAGGCCTCTCCTGGGGCAGCGCAGGAGAGCTTCCGAGGACTCGCCACTGTGGGCTTGAGGAAGAGTCTGCCAACCACGTTCAGTTCCTGGATCTAATTTACTACAATACCTGAGCACCTATTACCTTGTCTCAAATGGCTCCTGTGAGGATAAAGCCAGGAGCTCAAGTAGTCAGGTGTCAGGTAATGAGGAAGGGACATGTAAGAAGCCCTTCATTCACCCTGAAGAGTGAGGAGGAAACGTTACTTAGAGTGCTTCCCTAGCCCCCTGGTGCCAGGCCTCACATGGGCCAGACACTTTGATCTTATTATGCCAAGGAGGTCTGCCTGGAGATGGCAGACACGCCTGGCAGCCCACTGGCAGCATCACTTGTGAAGAGTGAAGACAGGGCCATGCTGTTCAAAGCTTTGGTTGCTGGGACCTTCCTGTTGCTGTGTGAAGGCTGGGCTTCCTGAGCAAGCTGGGGGAAGCTCCTGTCATTCCCAGGCCTTCTTTTATCCCCAGCACGGACCCAGACTCACCTGTGACAGGTTGGGATCGTGCGGGGGAATGGAAGGTGGAAAACAGGACCCTCAGGCCTGCAGGTGACCGGCAACAGAGAGAGGAGTAGACTGGGATAGTAGGTGTGGGGTACGGGGTGTGGGGGAATGTGACCCCTTCATGTACTGAGTACTTGCCACATGCCAGGCACTGTGCCCAGCACTTTGCAAGCCCAGTCTTATTCCCACCAGGGTACCAGCAGGTTGCTGTTTCTCGCATCTGTAAGTCCTCCAGCTGCCACCTCGTGTCTTGCTCCCCTTTATTGCAGACCTCAGCAGAGCTGTCCCCATTTGCTGCCTTTAGTTTTCAGCTCTCATTATCCCTTCATCCAGGCCAGTCTCTTGCCCCATCACTTCCCTAGGTGACTCGTCAAGGTCCCTAGGGACTTCCATGTTGCTGAACTCAGCGGTCAATTCTCAGTCTGCATTTTACCTGACTTCTCAGCACACTGAACACAACTGATCTCTCCCTCCTCCTTGTGGTAGTTTCTTCACTTCGATTCCAGAATGCCACACTTCCCTGATTTTCCTCTAACCTCAGAGACCACTCCTTCTCAGCCTTGTTTCTGGCTCTTTATCTTCTTCCTGACCTGACCCAAGCTTGGCCCTCAGTTCTCTATCAATCCTCCCCTCCCAGGCTGCTCTCATCCAGGCTTACGGCTTTAAACGTCTTCATCTGATGACTCCACATCTCCAGCCCCCACTTCTAGGAACTCCACTCTCCAAATGCTCCCCAAATTCAACATGTCCAAAGTAGAACCTTTGACTCCCTGCCCCAAACATTCCTCTCCATCTTCCTCAGTTAATGGTAACTCCCTCCTTCCAGTGGCTGAGACCAAACAGCTTGGAGTCACCTTTGACGCTTCTTTTTCTCACACTCCACCTCCAATTTGTCAGCAAATCCTAACGGCTCTACTTTCAAAATATAACAGAATCCAGCCACTTCTTTCTTTCTCCCTTTCCCCACCCAGTCCAAGCCACAGTCACATCTCACCTGGCGACTGCAGCAGCCTCCTGCTTCCTCAGTCCTCCATCCAGCAGCCATAGAAATCAGATCACGTCGCTCCTCAGCCCAGGCCTATGGAGCTCCAGGATCAGGCCCCCAACTACCTCTCTAACCCCAGTACCGTCCTCGCTCCTTGCTCACTATGCCCAGCACTTCTCATGGTTGTTTCAGCCTCCAGCCTCTTCCTCCAGTTACTCCAGTGGTCATTTTTAACTGTGCCAGGATGGGAAGTGGGTTGGGAAGTACAGCTCTAGGCTTGCTGACCTTTTTCATTGACCTTTCCTCTATAGGACCCTGGGCCAGTATGCCCCTTGTAAAATGAGCATGATCATATCAACCCTGCCTACCTCATTGGTCATGGATGCAAAGAACCCTGCTTTATCCTAGAATTTTTGGGAGCAGGAGCCAAGGGCCTATGAAGGTGGAAAGCTTTCTGGAAACCTCGGGGGCCTTTTTACCCTGATAAGTTCCTAGGACAGGGATTAGCCAGATCCCAGGCCTTGTGGCACACATGGAGATGAGCCTCAGGGCCCACTCCCTCAGGAACCTGGGACCCTGGTGGAAGGCATTCCACTATTCGCCATCTAAGGGCACAAACGCCTGGAGCCCTGGTGCAATGGGTGGAATGAACACCCTCCACAGGGCGCTGCAGACCACAGAGCTTTCAAATCTAAACTTCTGCTTCAGAGAAGGCCCTGCCATTCAGCCTTGGCTCTGGCTTTTCAGCTCTCAGAGTTATAAGCCTGGCTGGTGGAATAGGCAGCTCTGACCCTGGGGAATCTTAGGAGCAGAGCCTGGGGTCCAAGGTGCCAGCTCTAGGAAGACAGTCCCGGAGTCCCACTCTGCCCAGGGCAGGCAGAGGGTGGCTCCACAGCAGGTTTCGCAGCACACCACCTTCCCCAGGGAAGGCTCGTTTGGGCCAGGAAGCCCTGTCACCTGAGGGACAGCTAGAGCTGACCCTCCTTGGCCAGGTTGTTTAAGCTCCATGTTGTAACACAGCTCATTCTAGGTCTAGGAAACCTCAGAATCCAGCTCAGCCTATAGCCTCTGGCCTGGTTATGTATGTGTGTGACAGGAGCAGATGGACAGAGGGCTCATCCTGTCCCCCAGCCTTCCCTGGGAACTGGGGAAAAGCCTCATTAGACGGGGGTCTGTAGCCAGGCCACAGGAGAAGTGCCAGGTGGGTGGAGGTGGGGCTGAGAACCTGCCAGCAGGTGGAGGTCCTGAGGTGCCAGGGCTCCAGGGCAGAGCACTGAGGGCCTGGCCAGTCCTTCCCACGTTCGTGCAGGCTGCCTCTCAGCCTCACTCCCCAGCCCCCTGCATGCCCGGTGGTGGCAGCCAGGGGAAACTGTCTGGCGCAGGACCTGGTGCCCCACGCCCCTCTCAGCCAAATGGAACGTCCCGCTCCACGGCCTCAGCACAAGGCTGTCCCAGGGCTAGGCTGCCCAGCCAGCAGGGTGGAGTTGCCTGGGGCCTGGCCTGTGTCTGGGGAGCCCAGTGACTGGAGCTCTGCTCCTCTCCTCCCCTGATGGTGACTGTGCCCTGCCTCCGAGGGAAGGAGGCAGGCCTGGGTTGATCGTCCCCACCCGTCCCTGAGTATCTCGACGACACAACCTCATCTCTTACCTCTGAGGGCAGAGTGCCAGGCATAGCGCTGGGCACTCAGTAAGCGCTCCCAGCATGGTGGGATGTATAAACAAATGAAAGACCTAACAGCAGACCATACTCCTTGATCAGCACACTCCAAGACCCCTGTTCTTGGCCTTTGCATACAGCCCCTTTCCCCTCTCCCCCTCCAGACTGCAGCACTCCAGGACGAGTCTAGACTCTGAGACCCTTGGACTGGGAACAGCCTTAGCAGAGGCGGTCCTTCCTGCCACAGCATTGCTCTTACTGTTCTTCCCCATGCCGGTTCAAAACCTATCGTCCCGAAGGCGGTCCTCATCCTTCTAGGATCTTTTCATTGGCCCGTGGCTGGAAATTCCTCACTCTGGTGCCCCAGCATGCCCTCCTCTTGCTGAGCAGGCTGGAGCCAAGAAGGGGCCCTAGGGCAGGGCCAGGCAGGAGGAGGTGGAAATGAGGGACTCCTGAGGTCGGTCTCCTCTGCTCTGAAGTCGGGCTTGGGCCTGGCCGGGCTGCTCCCGCCTCCCTCTTCCCCAACCCCCAACTTCCTGCAGGCTCAGGTGAAAAATAAACACGGTCGGCATTTTCCCTGCAGACCGCAGAGGTCGGCTTACAGGCTGTGTGCACCCTGAGAGCCCTTGCCACTGCCAGCAGAGAAGCTCACTCGCCTCTAACGGTTGACTCTGAAAACCCCCAAACGCTTAAGAAGCCGCACAACACTTTCTCAGTGAAGAAAGCTTCTGCTTCCTCTGGTCTCAAGCCTGGAGGGTGGAAGCGTGTGAGGCTGACAAGGCCCTCCCAAGAAGGCCTCCCCTTGGCAGGGACTGTGCCAGGAGGAGCACCACCCCGCAACACACACATACACACACTGCACCAGAATTCGCAGTTGACCACTATCAGCAGACACAGTCAGTCAGGATGTATTTACTAAGCTCCTACAATGTATCAGGCAGAAGAATGTTTCAGGCCAGGAGATCAGCATCTGCTAATGACAGCTGATGGTTTATACCCTGTGCGAGGCATAATTCTGAGCACCTTATAGAGTTTAACTCATGTACTCCTAAAACCTATGAAATAGGTACAATTATTATCCCCATTTAATAAACGAGGAAACTGAGATGGAGACATTACATAGCTTGCCCAAGGTCACACAGCTTGTAAGTGGCAGAGCTGAGATTCCACCAACTGTACTGCAAAGGCCCTACGGTTATCAAGGACAGAACAAGGGGGAACAGGGGAAGGAGTCCCAGTCCTAAACTCAGTCTCTCCCTTCTTCAGCCTAGTTGGTCAGAGTCACCTAAGCCAGTGCTCCCCTGACCCTAAAGATGCTCCAGTAAGTTCTGGGACCCTGGGATTGGGGTTCTAGCTATACCCCATGCCTGCTTGCCTGCCAGGGCTGTTGGCACAGGGAGCTTGCCTGATGGCAATAGTTGGGACATGACCCCAGGTCCCCAGCCCACATCTCCCCGACTCACTCTCGCACAGCCACACCCCAGCCATACCCAACCACGCAGGCCTGCCTCTCTCTTACCCAGGTGTCCAGCTCTTCGCCTCTGCACCTTTATCCACCCCTTACACCCTCCCCTCCCAGCTTTCCACACTTCCTCCTACTCTTTGCCATACTGATTCCTTCTCATCCTGACCTCAGTCTAAGGGCCACTTCCTTAGGACTGTGACCTGGGTGGGGTTCCACCAGCCCAGCAGGCAGAGCTGCCCACTTGCTGCAGGGGTTGTTGGCCTAGGGGTCCTGGAGGGCAGAATCGGCTTGTTAGTCATCTCTGCCTCTCCAGGGTCTGTGCTTGGCATGTTCATTAAGACTTGCTGAATGAAGGCCTCTAGAATACCTGATGCCCCAGAACCCGTGCATGCCTACCCACTCATCCAACCATGGACCTGACTTCAGTCTCTTGGCTCCTAGAAGAGGGGGGGCGGTATTCCTGATGCCCGCTCTGGAGCTGCGGAACGGCCCTTGGGATGAGTCCACAGAAGGAGGGCAGATCCACACCTCGAACTAGACAGAAGGGTGGGCTATTGATAGTTATTGTTCTCTCTGCGAAGTGCACAGATGTGAAATTCAGTATTGTAAATGCCACATGTGACAACTGATTTGAGGCAGGCATTATCCTTCCTGTTTTACTCATGAGGGTCGTGAGGCTCAGTGACGCTGAGAAAATTGCAAGTCAGTGCTGGGGACCCCTTTAAGGTCTCTCAGGGTCTTCAGGCAACACCAGACAGCCACATTCTCATCTCTCACCTCCTCTCCCTCTGTGCTCCAGCCACTTTGGCTTCAAGGGCCATGCTGTTGCCTCTGCCTGGAGAGCTCTCCCACCACTTGTTGGGCTCTCAAGTTAGGTCTCTAGCAGTACGTGTAGGTAGGGCCCAGTGTGAGCCAGTGTTTAGGGAGCATGTGGCAGCACTGGACAAAGCACCCTGGCTGGGGCTGGGCATGGTCACAGCAGCACACAGGAGGCTGGGAGGAACTGGGGCCACTGCTGGGAGTCAGGGACATCCTGCCTGGCAACTGAGACCCTGTGCCTCCTTCTACCCCATCTCCTCCTTCCTGCAACACCTTGCGAGTCAGAATTCACCAGACAGTCAAAGCCAGGGCTACCACTAGTTCATATGGTGCCTTTGTGCTAACTAGAAAAAGTACCCTTTCCTCTGGAGAGACAGCCAGGCCCACACCAGGGCACGTGGCTTGTGGAGCATAGTGCAGGCTAGATTTCAGCTCCTTGGCCCAGATTCCCTGCATAACCCCACACAGTGGCCCTGCTCAAAAGGTCCTCTCCAGTTCTCACTTCTCTTCCCTGCATTGCCAGAAACCAGGCCACGCTCCATCCAGGGTCTGCCACTCAACTTCTGCTCTGGCCTTGATCAGTTCCTCTGGACTCCTCTCCCAGCTCCAGGGCCCACTAGTGCCCACCACACACAGCTCCCCCAGTCCTCTAGGTCTGGAGCTGGGGATCCACTGTCCAGCACCCACGGTGCTTAAGCACCAAGGAGTCTGGCCAGTTTCTGAGTGGGAAGCTGCCCCACGGCCTGGGACCACGAGAATGAACTTCCCAGAAGGAAGCAGGTCCTCCAAAGGAGGTTCGCCTGCATATCAGCCAAGCCGTGATGTGCAGGCTCCCCAGACCCCACGTCTGCAGATATCCCCTGGCTGGGCTCATGCCCTTTTATTGCCAGCCCCCGCTGCCCAGGACATGGTGCTCTCCAGAGGACGGCCCTCAAGCACCCCGCCCACAGCGTGCTGGACGCCTTGTGCTAGACGCCCACCGCAGAGCATGGAGCCGCGGCCGTGTGGCCAGCTGAGCTGGAGGGCTAGGGTATGGCTGGGCTACACCCTTGCGGACCAGGAGGCTTTAGTCCCGCCTGCCAGCACAGGACTGTGGCCAGGGATGCACAGAGCCCTCCCAGGTCCACGTGGCCAGTCCACCAGCTGCCTGGCCTTGACATCAGATAGGGGGTCCTGCCACAGCAGAGGCAAGGACTTGAGTCCCTGCCTACAGGCTTGGCAAACCACAGGCCTGCTCTAGACCCAGCCTGGCCCCGAGGCACCCCCGGAGCTAGCGGAACCTCACTTAGCTGAGTGGCCTGGCCCACAGCCTCCAGCGGTTTCTATGCATTCGTTTACTTTTGTTTTCCTTCTTCCTCTCTGAGGTAAACGCCCCTCAGGACAGGATGTTTTCAGAGGAAAATATAAGCTTCCGGGAGCTGCTGCAGCCGAGCTGCTAGTTGATGCTACCGACACACTGTCTGGGGACTCTGCAGCAGCCTGGGGGCTGGGCATCCCCTGTCCAGGCAGTCACCCTCCCAGCTCCTCAAGGCCCAGCCCTCCGGGAGCCCATGTGCCTGAGGCAGAGGCCAGGGCACAACCTCGGCTCAGGCTGTCTTTGGCAGTAGGGAAAGCCAGGCTCAGGGAAGAAGGCATTTGAGGAGTTCAGAGGTTTTGTTCCCTTGGGAGCAAAACAAAAACGCTTTGTAGAAAAGGCATGAAGAAAGCAGTGGAGGTGCAGACTTAGACACGGCAGCCGCCACCAGTGGCAGCCTCCTGTGTGCCTAGCACCCTGCAGGGTTCGCCCCCCGCCCCCCGAATCCCACCAGTCTTCCCAACCACTTTGTGACGTGTGTACAGATTGTGCGGATGAGGAAAGGGTAGCCGGGAGAGGTTAAATGACTTGCCCAAGGTCTCAGAGCAAGTAGTGACAGATCGGGATTTGAATCCAGCCCTTTGGGGTTCCTGGCCAGAGATCTTTACCACTCGGTGAGAGGCCTCCCAGGCCAGCTGGTAGCGCACAGCAATGGAGACCACACGTGTGAGGCGCAGGAGCCGAGTGGTTGCCAGGTTCTCCCCCCTACACTGGGTCTCCTCACTAAGACCTCCACCTACCCGGGACCCGCTGGATTTTGCCAGCAACACCCTGCCCTCATAGGAGGTGATGTGGGTCCTCAGTCGTAAATGACTAAAGGAACCGTGAGAAGTCATTCTTCCCACCAGGTCTGGCCTCTTCCCAGTCCACGTGCATGCGGGGTGGATGGCCACCGCAGAAGAGTTAGTGTGCTGCCTAGGAGCGAGAGCTAGGGCGGCCTGGCGCAGGGCCCAGAGAGGCGGAGGCTGATGGTCAGCGACGGCTCAAGGGTGGGAGGCAGAAGAGACTTGGAGATCTCATCCCCAGCCTTGGCACTGCATTCCTGCCCCAATTAATTCCAGCCAGCTTCTGAGGAGCAAAGATAAGATGGGGGCCTCTGAGTTACCTGGTCTGTTCAGCTGCCTGTACCAGCCCAGAGGACAGTTCTGCCCTGGGGCCACAGTCAGGAAGCTCACTTGGGTCTAACCCTTGCAGCTACTGCCAGTTAAGGAAGGCCCTTGGGGCTCTGCCTGGACTCAGTCCAGCGGTTTATCCCAAGTGAACAAGGCAAGGAGTGGAAACGACTTGCTGGAGGCTTCAGGCCCCAGGATGCTCCCACCCAAGCCCCTCACGCCAAGTGTAAGCAGATGGAGGAGGGCAGGGCTGCTGCAACTGTCACAGGGGCCCTCTTGGGGTGGAGCCCTCTAATGAGGTTGAGTTAGGGGGTTCCAAAAACCACACCAAACAGCTTTTACAGATACACACCTGGGTCTAACACTATAAAAATACAGGAAGAGGGTGAAACACTAAATTCCTGGCGGGGGTGAGGAGTGGGGATGGATGGGATGGGGGAGCCAAGGCGACCCAGCTGTAGCTATAAAACCCAACTTTTCAAAAATGAGTGGATAGATATGTTGTCTGAGAGGCAAGGTAGCAGGTGGTAAGGGCAGGGAACACAGAGGTAGATGCCTGAATTCACGTCTCTCCTCCAGCACTTGCAAAGTGTGTCTCTCTGTGCTTCAGGTTCCCCATCTGTACAATATCCATATCTCATAGGGATTAAATGAAGTAATATTTGTGTGTGCTAATATTTTTTAAAATTAACGAAGAAGAAAACAAAAGACAAAGGCGAGCATGTTCCTAGACCAAGGCTTTTCAGGAAAGCCGGCTTTTGTGCCAGGCCAGGGCTGCTGGCCCTCGATTTCCTTTGGACTACGGCCAGATTGCTGTTGGGCCAGACTCCTGAGCTCCTGACTAGCCCTCAGTGACCAGAGCCAGGGCAGGGGCGGGGGGAGGCGTGGGGGGTGGCACGGGAGGAGTAGAGGAGGGCAGTGGTAGAAGAAGAAACCCTCAAAATGCCGCAGCAGGGTTGGGAGGTGGATCTGGTTTCCAAGGGGTTTGGGGAGGGGACACCCATGTGCAGGGATGCCCTCAGATTCCTCAGTCCAGCCATTCCCATTGTCTCCGAGCCTAGGACACCCTCTAGCCCATCCCTGGACCACACAGAGGAGGGCACCTGGGCCAGAGAAGTCCAACAGTGAGCTCCAAGCTAAGCCAGGACCAGGACCAAAGTTAGAAAGGAGGAATCAACCTATACACAGTTCTTAACTGTCCTTGCATCATGCATCAAACCTGATGTAATCTTTTTTTAAAAATTTAACTTAATTTTTGGCTGCGCTGGGAGGCTTGCGGGATCTTAGTTCCCCAACCAGGGATTGAACCCATGCCCTCGGCAGTGAAAGTGCAGAGTCCTAACCACTGGACCACCAGGGAATTCCCAAACCTGATGTCATCTTAAATGTCATTTATAAACACTTTTCCAGGTAATATTTATTCTGAAAGCCCTGAGGTCCTGCTTTTAACCAAGAAACAACCCTTTTGGCCCCCGATAGCATGTGGTCCAGCCCTGACCCAGGTCCAGAGCTCTGAGGTCACGCCCAGGAGGGGCAGTAAGGGCCAAGTCTTTCCTTGAGGCCAGAGGAATTCAGCTCATAAACTCAACAGGAGTGGGTTCAGCTTTGCAGCCTGCAATGCTCCCAATGAGCTCCACACAATCGAGACCAAAGGGACAGAGCAGAGCCTGGGCTTTGGGGTAAAACAGACCTGAGTCCAAGTCCTGACTCTGACAGGTACTAGCAAGTTCTTAACCTCTCTGAGCCTCAGTTTCCCCATCTGTAAAATGAGAGCGATAATAGTATCTACTTTCTTGGCTTCTTGTAAGGATCTTGCTATTAGGATTAAGTCCCCAGCACAGGTCTGGCACTTGGGAAGTTCTTGACACATGCACTATTACTGTGGCTGTTGTTATTCTTGCAACAGTTTACGAGCACCTACTATGGGTCATGCGCTATGCTGGCCGCTAAGATTCTAGCAGTGAAGAAGACAGATGTGGCCTTGGCCCTGTAGATCCTCTCCAGCCCTTTTGATCCCAACCACCATCCCTTAAACCCCACCTCAACACGGCCATCAACGCTTGTGGCCTCTGCAATCCCAGCTTCATCTGGCCCCACACCCTTTGGTCTATGTTCACCCCCCAGCCCCACCCATGGGGTTGCCCACCACAGCTGGGGGGCTCCCAGGCTGTAGCCTGCTTCAAAGCCTGTCGGCAAGCTCTGGGGCGGCTGCTGCAGCCCGGCGCACACTTGGGGCCGCCCCGCCTGGACCCTGGCTATAGCCGCAGAGACCTCACTGCCACTGCTGCAGAGCTCTCCACAGGCTGCTTCTCAGAGTCCCTAAGTGCCCACCCACCCCCTGCCTGCCTGGCCACCGGGCCAGCCACAGAGCCATCTGATTTGAATGAAACTTCAAACTTAATGACTTTCATGCTGGTTATTTAAAACGCAATGTAATTTTCTTAAACACCCTATTATTTCCTTTGATAGCTACAAAGCTTCCCCCAATCCCATAAGCATGTTTATTTTTAGGGAAAAGAGTGGTTTTGCAGTTGGTCATAGAGACTATAGGGAAAAGGAGCCTGCAGAAAGTAGGGCAAAGAGTCAACCGTAGCAGCCTGGAGACCCACAGCTGCCTTGCCTTCGTGCTGGGGCAGACTCCACCGACACCACGGGGTCCAGGGCAGGACCCTGCCCTTCTCATACCAGCACATCCACCAGCGGCCCTCCTGTCTACCATCTGACAGTGGCCAAGTCCCCCTTCCTGTGCTTCCCCTCCACAGGGCCCCAGTGTCCTCATCTGTAAGATGGTTCCACTGGCTTCCCACAGACATGCCAGGCAACTATGGTCTGGGGAAGGGGTCCTGCGGCCACTGACATGCTCTCAGCTGCCTCCTCCAGACATTCTGCCCTAGTTAAGGCCTTGAGGCCTGCAGCTTTGAGCAGCTGGACGAGATCTGTGCCCAGATAAAGTGGCCTCCGGCAGTGGCTGCCCACACTGGGAGGGTGGGTGGGTGTGGCCCTGCCAGTCGGGGGCCCCCTGGCAAGGGAGGTGGCCTAGTGGTGGGTGTGCGTGCAGAGGTCAGCTGAGCCCCGCCAATGCGGGGTGTCCTCTGGGAATGGCTATTTTTAGATCCCAGGCTTTCATGTGGCCGAATGATGTGCAGTTTACAAAGCATTGGTAATGCGTTTCAGATGGCGGCCCAGCGGACCGGGAGGCTGGGCCTCCTGCCACCAGAGCCAGGTCAGAGTTAGTCAGAATACCCTCAACTGGACTTCTGTCACCTGTCTCTCCCTCCCTACAATTCCTTCTTGCCTGACAGGGAGACCAGGCCTGGAGCAGTCCTTGCAATACCCACCAAAGACCCCCTGAGGCCCACCCGAGCAGCAGGCCTCCCCAGCTGACCCTCGTCTGAACTTCAGAAATCCTCATGTCCAGAGCTCCCCACCCCCGTTTACAGAAGGAAATTGAGACCCAGAGAGGTTAACAGATTTGCTTGAGGTCACACACCCGGGGGAGGAGGTGGCCTTGGTCCCTGGCTTCCTTACCCATCATAGCCCCCTCCCCTCATGGGCAAATTGGGCTTCCTGGGAGGGGTGACCGGCCAGCCCTGGCTAGGCCACCCAGACACGGTGGGCTGGGGCAGCTGTAACCATGCACCCCCAGAACGCACTGTTCCCTGGGGCCTGCCCATCCACGCCTGCAGCCCCAGCCGCACACTCGCCATCAGCTGAAAGCAGAGAGTGTGGAGCCCAGACACCTCTCCGGTTCGTGGAGAGAGAGAGAGAGATGGTTGTTTTAACGGGAGGGGTAAAGGGGTTGGCAAAGCATCTGCTTCCTCTGATCTCCAAGGAGCTTTGGCTGTGGAGCTGGCTGTGACATGAAGGCTGTGTGTCACCATCTCCCTCTGGGCTCTAAAGCCATATCTGCTAGCACAGCCCAGGCAGGCAGGCAGGCAGGCTCCATGGGTGGGACAGGCTACATGGCTGCCTCCCCACAAGAGAGGGCCAAACTCACCAAACTACTACCTTGGGCCAGGGACCCTATCCAGCAGGGGACAGTCCCTCTACCCACCAGGGGACTGAGCCAACGGGAGCCCCATGTTCTGCAGGACCAGAAGGGGCCAAACCCTCTGACCAGGACAAACCCTCCCGGGCTGCAGCTCAGAGACTACACATGCCAAGGCTGATGTGGGCCACACCTCTTTAAGGGAGGGAGGCGGCACCCACGTCCAAACCCCAAGCATCAAAGGTCTGCGAGCTGAGACAGCAAACTGCCTGAAGGAAGAAGCTAACAATGTCCTGGGGTCTCAGAGACCCTCCATTGACTCCTGGGGCCTTGGAGTCCTGCTAGAGACAGTGCTGAGGAGACGTGTTCTCCACACCCTGGCTAAAGCACCAATGGGCTGCACACCCTGACCTCTGGGGTTCAGCTCCCCTCAGGAAACAGCGGACAAGACCCTGGACTCATGACCCTGGAGTGAGACTGAGAGTCAAAAGAAATAACACAAAACTTCCACCTCTGAGGCACTCCTGCCTTGCATGTGCCAGTCCGCTCGGGTCTGCCCTGCCCAAAGCCCACCCCCTCCCTTGCATCCCAGCATCCACCTGCCCCAGCTGCCGGCTCTGCCCGCCTCACCCTCTATGTTCAACTCAAACCATCTCCCGTGGGCACCACACTGCCCTTCATGCTGCCAACACACTGCAGGTACCCACCAGCCACTCCTGGGCTCTGGAACCAGCACCCCCGGGTATTAAGGTCACGTGCTGGGCCTTCAGTGCTGGCCCTTCTCCAGCCTCACAGACCCTGGGCTTCGGGTGGCTCTTCCAATGACCAAGAACATACTAATTTCTGCCTCTCCTCCTCTGCTTGAGCTGTGCCCCCGACCTCGAGCATTCTCCCACTCTCACCTTCGCAGGTTCTGGGCCAGCCAGAACTCTCCCCTGTCAGGAAGCCTTCCTGGCTGCCCCCACTGGCCTCCCTCCCTCCTCAGTGCCCTTTATCCAACACGGCCGACTCTGAGCCCCAAGGAGAGTCTCTTTGCCTTGCCAGAGCTGAGCTCTGCGGGGTGGGGCAGAGGCAGCCGTCCCCTCTGAGCTGAGCCAAGGCCAAGTGGGGCTCAGTAAATACCGGTTAAGAGTCTGGATCAGGATTCTAGGTACAGCTGGCACTATGTCGTCGACCAGCTGAGGGCCCGAGGGCTGGCTGGGCTGGACAGCTGTCCTCTTTGCTCTGCCCCAGGGGAACTGGCTGCTGAGCTGAGGACGGAGAGCATCAGGGGCTTCAGTCCAGCCGCACCTTCAGGAGCACTGCACCTACTGGACCGGCGTCCTTTACAAGGGCCATTCCCACACAGTGTTAACAATCCCTCCCACAGTGGCTTCCACTCAGGAAGCACCTACTATGTGCCGGGAACGCCACATCCACTATCTCGCTCCACTCCACAGTAACCCAAGGAGGTAGGAACCTTCGCTATCTTCATGTTTAGATGAGAAAGCTAAGGCCCACAGGAGTTAACTTACCCAAGGCCACCCAGCCAAGGAGTGGAAGATATGGTATTTGAGGGTGGAGCTTCCCGACTCAGGCCTTCCCCCTTCACTCCTCTAAGGGGCCTTGGATAAGTCCCTTCCCTGACCTGGCCTTACTGTCCCCACCTGCAGAGGAGGGCTGTTACCCAAGGATCTGTGCACTGTACCGTTCGGGGAGGGGGAGCCCTGTGACCTGATAAAACACCTGTTTCCTCCAACAGAGTCTTGTTTGTACACAGTGGCAGGAAGCAGCCAGTCACAAGGTATGAGGGAGTGTGACTGTATAGCTTCGGAACCGCAGCTGCCCGAGGAAGCTCAGAGGGAGGCTGCGGCTCCCCTCATCCCCTCCATGTGGCTCTGTGCCCACCCTGATCCAGCCTGACCTCAGCAGTTATGCGACTTGAAACCAGTGCCCCTGCAGCCCATTCTTGCAGCTCCGCTAAACCTCCCTTCATGCAGGAACGGGGGTTGGGTGTGATCTTAGGAGACCCAGGAGGGCATGGTCTGCCAACTGGCCATGAGAGGGGACCACCAAGGCCCCCCCTTTTCAACTCCACTCACGCCTAAGTCTTGGAGCACTTGGGGAAGTAGGCAGAACTGGTATGGATATCCCTGTTTGCGGGCTATGGAAGCTGGCTCGTGAAACCCTGCTGGGGCCGGGGGAGAATACCTGGGTCCTGGTGACCAACTCAGGGCTCTCTGTCAGCCTCTCCACCCTGCTAAGCTGGAGGAGTGGATGGCAGCCCTAAAACAGCAGCCCCTGGTGACAGGGTGGGGCAGGGGTCTGCAGGATAGGCCTCCTTCAGGGTGCTTTCCTGGCCCTGAAATGCATCAGGGAAGCCCCGAAAACGAAGTTTCACCTTGGGAGCAGCTGGTGGTGAGGGGGTTGCTGCAGATTTTCCAAATACCACACAGCCTTCCAAGTCAGGAAGGAATGCAAGTCAAAGTTACTTTTAAGTCTCACTGCCCACCACGAACCTATAAAATGAACAACAAAAAAGGGGAAACTCCACGTCAGCTATGCTTGGGCACCGCAAGGAACCCTCAGTGAACTGGGGCCTTGATTCTTCCTACCTCTTGAACCCATAATTCTCTTTGAACATTATGCTCCAGGAAAATAATCAAAACGGAAACCAAGGAGTGATTTGTATAGAGCATCATTCCCGCTGGTAAAGAAGGCAAGCTGCGAGCAAACTAGAAGCCACACGAGGGAGAGATGAATAATAAACATGAGGGAAAACAAGCAAAGAAGCTGTGCATGGGCACTGCCTGGGGGCCTGCACACCAGGGAAGCGTCGGAGCAAGACACAGGGGTGTTGCACACGGGGCACCATGTGAGAAAAGCTCTGGGAGTGGCTCAGAGGCTAATGGCCATGAAGGTCTTTTCCCTTTTTTTCTTACAAAATAGCTTAAGCCCCTAACATCTTGTGTAAAGGGCTTCTATATGGCTGGGGAAGGGGAGCCTCTTTCTGCAAAATCTCTGGGCGGTGGGAGAGGATTCTCAGGATGGAATGAGTGGCTATGGCTCCCAGTCTGGCCCCAGGAATAACACTTTTCCTCCCAAGAATGCCTGGGTGAGGCAGGCGTTGAGGAGGGGGCCTGTACACCTGAGGGCTGGTCCCCAGGGTTCAAACCCCCAAACCCCGTGGCCCAAAGTGGAGATATAGTCCTCCAGACAGAAGTGCACATGGAGCCTACCACTGAGCCACCCCTGGTCCCAGAGGAGCCAGGACAGCAAGGGAGAGGGATCAATTGTGGCCAAACCCCGACCCCCAAGCCCAGGCCACGCTGGCACCTTCCTGGGC